AGTTACACATAAAAAGGAGCCAGGAGCCTGACTACCTTGATTTCCAAGGAAGAATGAAGAATGTGAGGGTATTGAGGACTCCGTACCTTTATCAAATAAGACAGCAGCAGCAGTCAGGGAACACATGAAGCACCCTGGTGGTGCCCAGGTCTAGGGAGGGAGGACTGGCCTGGTGCTCACCGAGGGCTCCCAGCTGTGCAGGGGCAGGCAGGGTGGGCTCGAGAGCAGAGGGTAGCATGCAATCAGTGAGAGCCAGACCAGGTCAGTGTTGGTCCTGTGTGCATAAGGAAATCCCTATGAAGAATGGAGGGTCCGGATGGCACGGACACTGGCTGATTACGGAGCAGAACAGGACACAGAGAAGGGGACATAGAGAGATTTTTCCGTGTAGTTCAGGGACATGTTCCAAATTCTTCAAGAGAGATCAAGGACTGTGTGAGGCAGAAAAAATGAGTCCAACCCTTTTGAGAGTCAAAAATTTGTGTTGGTTTGGGGCGAGCCCTCCTCCCCTCAGTGAAAGGGCAGGGTAATGACAGAATATGACAGACATGGAGCAGAGGTGCAGAACTGACAGGCACAGCAGAACGGAGCTAGCCCTGGAGGAGGCCAGCGAGCTTGGGCACTCTGCGTAGGGTATAGGATTGCACGGGCCGAGACTGGCAGCCTCAGGGGAGCCGGGACTGAGCCATGTAGGAGCTTCACTCCCATGACCACGTCTAGTCCTCACAACAGCCTCAATCCCAACAGCATCCAGCTTGTGGAGAATGGAATGGGATCCAAGTCCTTCCCTAAACATGGAAAACCACTGAACAAACGTACATTAGCACAGACGTATCATAATGGTAGGGTAGAAAAAGCAATTTTCTAAAAAAGAAATTTTCAGTCTGATCCCAACATTGTTTTTCTTTAAAGAAATATTTACAGTAGAGAGAGAGAAAAAGGGAAGCACTGTGGCACCGCAGGTTAAGCTGCTGCCTAAGACACGGGCATCCTATAGAGGAGCAGGGGTTCCAGTCCTGGCTGCTCTACTTCCTATCCAGCTCCCTGCTAATGTCCCTGGGGAAGCAGCAGGTGATGGCCTAAGAGGTTGGGCCCCTGCACCCATGTGGGAGATGTGGCTTAAGTTCCAGGCTTCTAGCTTCTGCCTGGCCCAGTCCTGGCTGTTGCAGCCATTTGGTGAGAAACAAGTGGATAGAAGATCTCTCTCTCTCTCTCTCTCTCTCTCTCTCTCTTCAGCTCTCCATCTTCCTTTCAAATAAAGAAAATGAATCTTAAAAAAAAAAAAAAGAGGGAGAGCTGCAAGGATATATACCTTAATGGTGGCTATATCTCAACGGTAGGAATTGTTTTAAATTTTATTTTCAGTGTTTTCTCCCCCCGCCCCCCGCACACAATAAGCATGTAAATCTTCTTAAAGCAGAGGGGAAAAGTTTATTTTTCCAGAAGCAGTTGTAGGGACTAGAGAGGATCAAAGTAATGAGGATGAATTACAGTGAGCTCTTAATGACACACAAATCCAGCTTCTTACCAGCTCTGTGAATTTCAGCAAGCCCACCTGCCTTCACTGAGCCTGTTTCCTAACTACTGAAAAAGTGGATTACAGTCTCGTCCCAGGGAGCTGTGGCTGGGATTAATGGAGAGGCAACGTACACTGTTAGACCTGGCTCCCTCTTGCTGCCTCCAGGGAATAAAGGCCCTGCACCCACAGCTGGCTTCAGAGGACACAGGGAACCTGGTTTCCTTGCCCCCGCCCATACTCACCCTGGAACTGCCCACACTCCTAACCCCCTCCCTCCCTCCATTCTTACCTGTGGAGACCTAGAGGATCTCACTCCTGAACACATTCTCACCCATTTGTCTCTCCCTTTTCCTTGCCTCAACCCTCTAAGCTCGAGCCATCTTCTGTTGCTTTCCCAGGCACAATAGCGGAGAACCGCATGGGAAGTGAAGCAGCCAGGACTTGCACTGGCACTCATGAGGGATCCCGGAGTTGCAGCCCACTGTGCCACAACACCAGCCCTAGAATACACATTCGCAAAGTAGCTACTATGTTATAAAGAAGGCCCCATTTCTCTCCTCCATTCCCATCATTCAGGAACCTTTGTAGTTCACATTCTGGTTGAGAAGTGAGATCCTTCAACACCTACCGTTTGTTGGCCAAGTGATGGAGGCAAGTGGGGAGACGCGTTCTTAGCAGCCCGTGCACATGTGTATGGGGTGAGGGAAGAATCGCAGGGTTCAGGAGTGGTGGTTTTCTCATCCTGTACCGTGTATCAGCTCCCTATACTGTCTTTACTAAACACAAAAAGCGTCTCTCTGCGGCACTGGTGTCAAAGCCAGTTGAATCCATGCTTGGGCAGTGCCGTGTCCTCTCATCTCCCAGTTGATTAAAGTCTGTCCTCAGCGGGATCATGTGGAAGGCTGGGATCATGTGATGAGTTGACACATAATGTGCCTTTGCCGAGGCAGTGGGGAGGGGAACAGGTCCAAGAAGTTACAAACTAGCTCAGAGTGTTCTCCGCAGACATCTTAGAGCTTATTGGAACACACACACACACACACACACATTCTGATTAACAAGCAGTTTTAAGACTTCAAGAGGTGCCAAAACCCGGCACTACTTGATATTGTTGTTATTTATTGGGCAGACATTAACATCCACGGAAGACAACCATAGTTCAGTGTCCCTGACCCACTAAGCTGCTGCACTTTTCCTCATTGCTTTCCAGCCCTTGTTCAGATCTGTAAATGCACTGGCATGGGAGTAACTGCAGATTGGATACAATTATATATTCTACGTCTTCCTCCCATGCAGATGTACACACTGAATGATGCTGAGGACAGCAATATTCAAAACCAGGGCCCTGTGACAACAGCCCCTTCGGGCGGGCGGGCGGGCGGGCGGGTAGGAGATGCTGGCAGGGCAGCGAGACACACCCTGTTCTGCCTGTGTTATTTATGCCTCCGGCAGTGAAGCCCCTGACAAAGAAGCATGTCACTGGAACACACGCTCTTTGTTCACAGAGGTGCATGCCAGCACCGGCTGTGTGAGAAGGCACAGTGCCGTGTCTGTCGTCTCTCCTCCTTTGGCTCCTTCGCTGGCTTTTTATTTGCTGCACATTGTGGCTGTGTTTATTAATTACTTTGTGGCTCAATCTTATAAAATACACATTTATCCTGGGAGCTAAGGACCGTAGGCAAAGGGTCCTTCATCCCCTCCAGTTGGCCAGAGAGGGGACAGGCCCTGAAGATCTGCCTGATGCTCCCTGAGCCACAATGTCACCTCCCCCTCGGCCACTAGGTGACCACACTTTCTCTCTGAGCTACCGCTTCAAGGCCCGGCCAACATCTCCCCTTTACCTGCAGGCTGTTTGGTCCTGAACGCCCTCTTGTCACTGTTCCCAGCCTACCACACCAAAGCAGGTCCCCACCCCGGGACTCCACTCTAGCCAGACTGATGGTGCAGCTTTGACCCACCAGACCCGCCTAGTTCCACCTCTTGGTGGGGGTACTGCTTGCGGTTCCTGGGCCTCGCTTCTCCATCGGTGACATGATGAAAGGGTCACCTGCCTGACAGGGTTGTCAGGGGATAACACGAGAAAGAACGTAGCAAGCCCCTAAAGGTGCATGCTTGGTAGCTGCCTGTAATTTTTTGATAAAAGCCCTCATTGCCTGGTTCCCAATGACAGGTCCCCAGGTGCCTTCCCGAGGAGCACACCCCTCTCCACTTTCCCTCTCCACGGCTGTGTGGCTGAGACTACAAGGCCAGCAGGAAACTCCCAACTGGGAAGATTCCGCCTCTTTCCGTAATCCTTCTAAAACGTCCTCTTGAAATGAGAATTCATTATCATAAAAACTGATATGTAATTGCTTCAAAACTAAGTTTGGGCTATTTATAGTCTGCCACTTGGGTAAAACCACGGGGGAAGGGGCTTCAGTCCCATAAAACTATCTCAGTTAATGCATGGAGTTTTTTCTGTAAAAAACTGCCTCTTGTCCACACTAGAAATAAGAAGGTATCCGACTGCACATACCATGCTGTTTATTTACTTTCTGCTGAGTATAACTCTACGGCCCGGACCTGGGGCTCTAACCGTGGGACCCCTGGAGCCGGAGCATGACAAAGGCGGCCTGACAGGCGTCACCAAAATGGAGACCACCGAGACTCGGCGTGCCTCACGGGGGGCCCTAGGTTGTAACTGCGCTAGACGTGAGCGGGGAGAACGGTGTAACAGCGAGCCCCCCCCCCCCCCACGCCGCCCCGCGGAAATGCTCATTGTTTCCTTCGGAAGTCCTCTCGGGCATCAAAATGTCAGAAAAGCGAGGGAGAGCCTCCGCGGCGGGGGGACGCTCGGCGGCTCTGAGGCTGAGGCAGGCGGCCGGGCCCGGGGCCAACTCCGCCCGCTGCCACGCGCTGCAGCTCGGGCCCGCCGCGATGCCGCCCACCCCGGGGTCCTGGGCTGCGCGTCCGACGCCACCGGGCCCAGGAGGCGCCAGGGTTCGGGCCGTCGGCCCCCGATTGTGCAGGGGGAGGGGGTGGAACGGAAGGGCGACCCCCAGGCCCCCGCGCCGAGTTCTCTGCCCATCTCGCGCCTCCGCGGGCGTCGGGGGAGCCTCCGCGGACCGACTCGCCCCTCGCGACCCCCGATCCCCGACAGGAGGGCCTCCCGCCAGCCCTGCCCCACCCCATCGCAGAGCACAGCGAGGCGGGCCGGGGGTCTCGGCCCGGCGGCAGGCGGAGAAGCCCCCGAGCAAGGTCTTACATCAGCCGCCCCACGTGCAGGCGGAGGGAGGGAGGAAGTCGCTCCCCTCCCCGGGGCTGCGCCTCCCCCCGCCCCCGCCCCGCCCTCCCGCCGCGCCTCCCCGCCCCGTCCTCGGAGCAGCCGCGGCCGCGGAGCCGAGCGGCGCCGCGCGGGGCCGAGTGGAGCCGAGCAGCCGCCGCGCCGCGTCGCCGGTTTAAGCGCAGTGCGAGGCCGCGGCCGGGGGCGGCGGTAGTGAGAGCAGCGCTGCGCTCCAGCCCCCTTTTCCCTCCATGGTTTCTCTCCGCTCCCGTGAGTAACTTGGCTCCGGGGGCTCCGCTCGCCTTGCCCGCACGCCGCACGCCGCCTGGGACCGCGCCGCCGGCCTCCGCCGCGAGCAGACCCCCTTCCGACGGCCTTCGCTGCGCAGGCCGGGACGCCTCTCCCCCCTCCGCCCCCGCCGCGGAAAGTTAAGTTTGAAGAGGGGGGAAGAGGGGAACATGGACATGAAGAGGAGGATCCACCTGGAGCTGAGGAACCGGACCCCGGCAGCTGTAAGCAGAGCCCCCGTCGGGCGCCCTTTCCCCCTCGATGACTTGCATGTAATGGTGGCCACCTGCGGGGGCCCCGGGCCGCGGGTTCGCGGGCTCCGGCGCGGGGAAGGGCGCAGCTCGCGGGCTGGGACGGGGAAGGCGGGCGGGCGGGCGGGCGCGGGCGGAGGGGGGGAGCGAGCGCGCGGGGATTAACTCTTTGGCGCCCGCGGGCCCTCGCGGCCGCCCGGGGAAGGCGACGGGGTGAGGGAGCGCAAACTTTGAGCTCCTCGCCCGCCGGGGTCCTCTCCCGGAGGGAGCGCGTGTGCGTGTGGCCGGCGGCGAGAGAAGGAGGCGGGGGGTTGTGTAACGCTGGGAGCCATGTTTGCAGCCTCCCGGGATGCGCGGCCGGGCGGAGGCGGGCCTGCCCGGGAGCCGCGCGGCCATCCCCGGCTGGGCCCGCCGCCGGCCACGCCGGACTCCGCACGCCCCGGGCCGGCCCCGGGAGCGGGAGCCGGCGGCGGGCAGGGCGGGGGGCTGCGCCGGCCGGGCCTCGGGGTTGGCGTCGGCCCGGCCGAGGGCAGGGGCCGCGGGGGCGAGCAAGGGGGCTCTGCTCCTTTGAAGGGGGCCAGAAGCCCCCTCGGGCGCTGGGGGGCCCGGGCGGGCGCGGCCTGGCGCGCGGAGCGGGGGAGGGGCGGGCCTGGGCGGCGGAGGTGGCGCAACCGCCGCCCCTCCCGAGGCCAAGTTTGAAAAAAGGACGCGGTTCCCGCCATTTTTCAAGCCTAAAAATAAAACTTTCTCCCCCATTGCCCTCGCTCTCCTTTGAGACGCCCTCAGCCATCCTCCCTGCGGCCCCCTCAGGGCGGGCCACGGGCAGGCGTTGTGGCGGCGGCCGGGCCCTCCCCACCCCCGCCGTCGCCGCCGCCGCCGCCGCCGCGGAGCCCGGGGGCCCCTGCCCCGGGAGGCTGGCCCCTCGGTGTGGGCGGGCGGCGGCCGCTCGCGCCAGCCCGGGCGCGCCACAGGCCGCCACAGCGCCATGTTGGCGGGCGCCCGTCTCCCTCCGCCGCGTGAGGCGGCCGGCCGAGCGACTCGGAGCTCCGGCGCGGCCCGCTCGCCCTCGCCCGCCGCGCTTCCCCGGGCCGAGCCTTCGGTGTGTCCCGTCCCGCCGGGGCTCGGCTCGCACTGGCGGTCGCCGCGCGCTACGGCTGCAGCCGACTCGTCCCCTCGCGGGCGCGCTGCCGGCGCCCTCCCCCCTTCTTAAAAGGGCAACGGCAGGCCTGGCGCGCGGGCGTTCGCGCGGTCTTGGGGCCGGCGCAGGGCCGTGCGGTGGCCTGTGCCCCCGCACGTGCCAGGGTGCGGCCTGCCGCGGCCGGCCTCGGGCCGCTGCTGCGTGTGCGTGGGCCCGGCCCGGGAGCGTCGCCTCTTGTATCGCAGCGAGCGCGAGCCCCCGCGTGGAGAGGCGGCGCGCGGCCGCCCGAGCCCGCGGCGGGTGAGTCGCTGGCGGCGGGAGGCCGCGTGGCGGGTGCTCAGGTGGCTGTGGTTAGCAAGTTGCACACTTGGTGGGATCGGCCGACCGGGCTGTTTACCTGCAGGCCTTGAGGTCAGCGGGCGCGCGTGGTGGCGCCCTGAAACCCCGAGTTGGGTGGGTGGCCTTTTGGCGGGTGTCGGGGTCGAGTCAGACATTTTGTGCCCGCCACGTGCTGCGTGTTGCGTGGTTAGACACCTTGAAGAGCTCGTTCTCACCTGGAGGGCTTAACGCAGAGTTTCCATTATTGCTTGGAAGTTGGGAATCAATACAGTATCTAAATTTAGCCAAAATTCCCCCTAAGAAAGGTGCACACATAGGTCTTTTTTTTTTTTTTCTTTTTTTCTGCCAGACAGTGAGAGAGACAGAGACAGAGAGAAAGGCCTTCCTTCCGTTGGTTCACCCCCCAAATGGCCGCTACAGCCGGCGCTGCGCCGATCCAAAGCCAGGAGCCAGATGCTTCCTCCTGGTCTCCCATGCAGGTGCAGGGGCCCAAACACTTGGGCCATCCTCCACTGCCTTCTGGGGCCACAGCAGAGAGCCGGACTGGAAGAGAAGCAACCGGGACTCGAACCCGGGGTGCCAGCGCCGCAGGCAGAGGATTAGCCAAGTGAGCTGCAGCACCAGCCCAGACATAGGTCTTTAAAATCTAAATTTCTGGATTCTCAAACCAAAAGCCTGCTAAAACGCTCGGAGCAAGTAGTTTTCTCTGCTAAATAAGTGCCACTGCTGTTCCCAGTCCATGGTGCCCTTTCTCATATGGAGCAGTATAGCTGTGTGTGTGAAAGTATTAGTTTTTTCAAGTAATCAGTTTAGTTTTTGACCACCTTGCCAAGATGCGTGTGACTATTAAAGTTTTAATTAGGCCAGTCGTTGGTCCTGCCCCATTTTTACTGTTCAAAGAGCAACAAGTGGCCAGAGGGGCCGGCACTGGGCCACAGAACCCTCTGGCTTATTGAATATTTGACCACCAACAGGATGCCGGGGTCTGTGAAGCCAGCAGGGCAGGACAAGAGTGCCTTCTCTCCAGCTCCTTGGAGCCTGTGGCGCCCACATTGGTGCCTGTGAAGTGGGGGTGAGGCGGGGGGTGTTAGAAAGCCCTTTAGTGTCCTGGGAGCCAGCCAAGATTGCAGGGAACAGCACGGCTCCCTCTGGGGCTCTGATGTGGGCGCTGAGAGGAAAGGGAGCTGGGAGAGTATGACTTCGACCTAAAACTGAAGGCTTCTCAGAAAATGCTGTGGAGTTTGAAGGAAAAAACTTTTAAACAATTTAAAAAGTTTTCATAAAAACATCGTGGGGACCGGCACTGTGGCACAGCGGGTAAAGCTGCCGCCTGCCGTGCTGGCATCCCATGTGGGCGCCGGTTTGAATCCCAGCTGCTCCACTTCTGATCGAGCTCTCTGCTGTGGCCTGGGAAAGCAGTGGAAGATGGCCCAAGTCCATGGACCCCTGTACCCACGTGGGAGACTCGGACCAAGCTCCTGGCCCTGGCTTCAGATTGGCCCAACTCTGACTATTACAGCCGTTTGGGGAGTGAACCAGTGGATAGAAGACACCCCTCTCTCTTTGTCCCTCCCTTTCAAATCAGTAAGTCTTAAAAAAAAAAAAAAAGACATCATCCTTTGGGTAAATGAAAGGTTCCAAGATGGCTCCTTTACAGTCAGCTAATCACATGGCACCTTATGCACCATAAACTCCACAGGTATTGTCAGCTGTCCTCAGGCTTGAGCTCTGGGATGCTGCATACTGTTTGTTGTCATTGGGGGAAACAAGAGCCCATGCCCCCGCTGAATGCGCGGTTATAATATAGATAGGATGCTCAGAGATACTTGACACACTGTCTGCATAGAAACAGAATAGACCATGTTTGACCTTAGTGGGTTTTTAAAGATTTATTTGAAAGGCAGAGTTAGAGGGAGAGACAGTCTGCTGTCTGCTGGTTAACTCCCCAAATGGCAACAACAACAGAGGCTGGGCCAAGCCTGAGCCAGGAACCTGGAACTCCATCCAGGACTCCCACACGAGTGATGGGCCTGAGCACGTGGGCCACCTTGTGCTGTTTCCCCCGTGCATTATTAGCAGGCAGCTGGGTTGCCTGCCCAGTCTGGGCTTCGTGGGAATAGCATCCCTGGGAGGATTTGGGGCCCTTATGGGATGCCATTGTCACGGGTGACTTAAATTCAAGTGAGGTCTAAGTTTTTGAGGAACTGAGTGTGGGATTGATTTTAAATGTTTTGTTTCAATGCCAAATGGGCATTTATTGTATAAAAGGTTTTTTTGGTTTTGTTGTTACTTTGGGGTTTGAAGATGACTCTGATAACACTTAAGTGTTTACTTTCTTGTGTTCCTTGGTCATATTAAGTGGGGCCAAGGTAATAGGTTCACTTCACTTACTTTTATGCCTTTATTCCTTATAAACATGGGTAGGCTGATTTCCCAAAGGGAAGAGGGGGACTCAAAGAAATGGGTAAATAGGGGCATAGCAGGTAAAACCACCACCTGCAAAGCTAGCATCCCATATGGGTGCCAGTTCAATTCTGGCTGCTCCGCTTCCAATCCAACTCCCTGCCAATGTGCCTGGGAAAGCGACAGAAAATGGCCCAAGTGCTTGGGTCCTTTCCACCCACACAGGCAATCCAGAAAAAGCTCCTGGTCTTGGACCAGCCCAGCTCCTGCCTTTTGTGGCCATTTGGGGAGTGAATCAGCAAATAGAAAATCAATCAATCTCTCTCCCTCTATGAACTCTGCCTTTCAGATAGTGTCTGTCTGTCTCTCTTTAAAGACAAGATGGGAAATAGTTTGTGGTGTTTGTGAGAATGGGAAATGCTTTGTAAATATTGTCAGTTACTTTACTGAAAATAAAACATACAGTGATACAACATATATACACCAAAGAAATTAGTGGTGTTGTCAGTAGAGTGAGAAGACAATGTACACTAGCAAGATAAAAACCTGATTGAGTTGTATTCCAGAATTGGAAAAGAATACTTGTTCTTCCTTATGTGAAGGGCTCATCCTTCTGTTGCGTTGAACATTGCTGATAAGTTATGAGCACGTGTAACCGCATGTCTGGGGATGGCTAGCTTTCGTCAGAGTATTTGCTGTTTTTGGAGTTTTTCATTCAGAAAGCCAAGCAGTTCTTTCCTTGGTTCAAAATCCATGGCCCTGTGAAATACTGCTGTGTTACATACTGAACTGTGACATCTCATATTTTTTAGCTTTTTTTTTTTTTTTTTTTTAAGGTTCATTTATTTGAAAGGAAAGTTGGAGATTTCCTATCCTCTGATTCATTCCCCCAAATGGCCTCAGAGTCTGGGCTGGGCTAGTCCAAAGCCAGAATCCTCCAACTCCATCCTCCATTGCCTTCTCAAGCACATTAGCAGGGAGCTGGATCAAAAATGCAGCCAGAACTCAAACCAGCACTCACAATGGATGCTGGCCTTCTCTTGTCACTCTACCTTTCAAATTTTTCAAAAAATAAAATAATAGAGAATTGGGG